GCCTGCAAAGTACAGGCAGTCCCTGACTTATGACCACAACTGAGCCCAAAATTTCTGTTGCTAAATGAGACATTTGTTAAGTGAATTTTACCCCCTTTTATGACCTTTCTTGTCACGGTTGCTAAGTGAATCACTGCACTTATTCAGTTAGTAACACAGTTAAGTGAATATGGATTCCCCATCGACTCTGCTTGTCAGAAGTTCAAAAAGGTGATCATGACCCTAGGACACTGCAACTGTCATAAATATGAGTTACTTGCCAAGCACCTGAATTTTGATCACATGACAGTGAGGATGTCATAAGTGTGAAAAAGAAAACAATCATAAGTTACGTTTTTCAGTGCCGTTCTACCTTGAAGGGACTGTTTAAGTCAAGGACCACCTGTAGAAGACAGGAGATTCCACACCTATCTCCCAGAAGCTCTCCAGGTCTCTGCTTCTGCCTCCAAATTTTATCCTACTGCCACTATCTCTCTTCCAGAGATTCTTCACCTGGTAGCCATCCATCAACCTTGGTATGCAAGAGTGATAGGGCTCTCATAACCAGTGGTAGTATTCTGGAAAAAGATCAAAATGCAGAAGGAAGAAATCTAACTACCCACCTACCTACATCTTGGTCTTGTAGCATCTAGAGCAGGGGCGACAAACTCGATTTCATTGAGAGCCGCATCAGGGTTGTTGATTTCAGGGAGCCAGGATGGGCGTGGCCTGGGTGGGTATGGCCAGCTCAACATCACTCATGTCGGGGCGTCTGTGGTGAGCCAAGCATTCTGCCAGCGAAAAGGGGCTCCTGAGTTCTGTTTTTGGTTGCGACAGCCTCCTGCAACCCTCTGCCAGCGAAAACAACCTCAGGAGGGCCACATGTTTTCACTGGCAGAGGCACCACAGGCCAGTCCTTCGCTGTTTCCAGGTCGGTCCTGAGGGCCAGATCTAAGCACCCGATGGGCTGAATTTGGCCCATGGCCCTTGAGTTTGACACCCCTGATCTAGAGAATTCAGCTCCTCTTTCATGTCTTCGTGGAGTTTTCCTCCACTTATTTTTTTTTTTTAAATCTCCCATCAGGTAGAATAGTGAGGTTAATCTCATTCTCTATAAGAAGCTGCACATTTCTCCCTCTGGGAAGTGTGCATTAGGATCGACCTGCAGTCAAGCAAGGAGGTTACATTCATAAGGATAATCTATAAACTCACACAATTTGAATTTTCAGAATTGTTTATGTTGAAGAGAGAACTATAATCCTTGCTTTCAGATTAATTTTAAGAAGGGACTAAAATGAATTTAAAAAGCCAACTCACATATCCATTTGCCTATAATTTCATCCTTAATATTAGAAACTAAGATGATTTTTTTAATGGAAACTAAATCTTCAGAGTCAGATAGGTGGAAAAGTGTTCAAGGTCGTTTTACATGCACATGGGATTTACAAGACATCAATATAATATTTCATTTTCATTTTCTATCTAAAACACAACCACACACTGCACCAAAAACGTATCAAATTCTCAGTTCCTAAAGCAAGATAATATCTAAAGTAATTCCTTGATCCACTTCCTACTAATATAACCAAACTATCTTAATTTTAAGATTTTTTTCCTTGTTGTATATCATGTCCAAATCCCTCTTAAAACCTCAAATGGAATCATACACACACTTTCTCTGGTATGCCTTTTAGACATAAACATGTTTCAGTTTTGTAAAATTATCTGCTATTTCCCCTTGAGTCAAATCAAGGGCTACCAGTCTATTTTTCCTACCACATTTATTCTCAAGAGACTACAAGACAAGCCACCATTTTTCAGAACTCTGGCATATTGGCTTTCTCAGTAATAAATTAGACATCGTTAGCAATTCAGCTACTTTTACTTCTTTTGTTCTTTATTAAGTTGGATCAATGCCATCTGGTTCTACTGATTTATGACTGCTTACCTTCATTTTCACCTGTAAGGCCTCCTATATCAACCAGTCTGGACACCTAAACTTCTGCTTATATTCCTAGAAAAACAACCCAGGAAACCACCCAGGGATGGAATCCAATTATTGCTGATTACCTCAAGAACCATTTCTTCCCAAGTTTCAATTTCACCAGGTGCACAGAGAAGACCAAAAGACTCTTTAAAGCCTTCCTCCCAAACAAAAAACATTTACTTGATGCTGAAATAAATTGCCCCCAAATAAATTTGGCATAAATAGGACCCTGTAATAGAGGAATGAAAATCTGGGCCTGTTTAATCTGGGCCTAAGGAAAATGTAATGTAATTTGCAATATTGTGAGCAGTAAAACATATATCACTTTCTTACCACTACTTCTTTTGGGTGTATTTATTTTCTGGAAACAGAAGTATTACTTGTGATTCAGAGACCTCCTCCCCCAATAGCCCTGCACCAAATATGGCCTGAGAATCTCCCCAAAGTCTCCCCCTCCTACAGCTCAAAAAAGGATAAGAAAGAAAAAAAAAGATGTTTCCTTAGACCCTGCTTGCTACTCAGTGATGGCATGAAGACAGACTGTCCCTTTCTTTGTATGCCAAAGGAAGTCTGGAAGCAATTGCTCCTTCTTATCTCAGGGCTGTCTTTCTTCATTCAGAAGACGTTGTCTTCCCAACCTCTGAATGACAATTGACTGGGGTATGGTAGAGAAAAGGGTCATGGAAAAAAAAGGCAAGGACTTTTCTTTGTAGCAATGTCATAACATCACTGACAGAGGGAGGCGCAAAGGACATCTAGCTGTTGGCATGCTGACCTCCCTCAAATCCTATTGTTTTTGAACCAGACTGTAAGAGATGATCAGGCTGAGCCTGACAGAAGGATCAAATGTGTCATCAGTCTCAAGTCCCTTCATGCCCACAAGAGATCTAAGTCCAGCCCACCTTGAGTTCTATTGACTCTTATCCACCACCAATTTGCATTTACTCTTAGCAGTTCAGATTCTTGTACAGAGTTTAAGCTGTTGCAATAAACCTATATATTCATCTGAACTGCCTAGACTCCTGATTTCCTACATTTAACACAGATGTCTCAAAGCTCTACAGATCAGCATCTCTTCTCTGCCACGTCTTTTTACCAAGAAGCCTTTAGGGCTGTCTGTCACCCTCAAATATGTATAACTGCCAAAGAAAAGCACCTGCTGCCATTATTTCTTACATTTTAAAAATATTTTTGAGTAGATTAAGGCCTACCATAGGACCCATTTAAAAGGTTATTAGCTCCTGACAGCAGTCTCTTTTCGATGCGGTAGTTTTATTTAACAATCTGAGGGAACAGAATTTAATAACCCAGGAAGTAGAATCCAATAGGCCTGGGGAATATCAAAGTGGAGAAGCTAGTAAGTTCCACTTTATTGTGGCATGCTGCTTTTCAAAACTGAGGGGGTGGCCTTATCATTCTCCTCTTCTATTAACATTTAAATGTGCCCACAGAAATCAGAAGCAGCTAATTCTTTACTCAATGTGGTATCCAAGGCATTAAATTTAATAAAATGACCTCAATAAAAGTTAATCAGAAGTGTTTAAATGTATCGGCAATAAAACAAATTTTATGGCTAGCAGTCAGTTATCTTCTGTGACAAATTAACTGAGCACTCAAAATGAGATGCATCAGTACCATTTTAGTAATGAAAAATGAATGCGAGTCAAACATAACAGAAGGGACCAACTCATTACTTCCCAAATAGAAACCTCATTTGGACAGGGAAGATATTTGTCTATTTTGATGGTCTTTCGTGGCTTAGAAGTCTGCTTAATTCTCCCAGGGAATGTCACTTTTCCCCTGCATCAAGAATAATAATAACATGATTTCTCTTCCCAAATCCAAGTTTCAAACATATGCTGTTGCAACACATTTCACAGATTTGGAAGGCCAGCCCCAGTCTTTGGGAAAACATCGTCCTCTGCTCGAAGTAGAATAGAAACTAGAAAAATAGTAGTGAAAAAAACTCCATGTCTCTCCAGCATCAAAGAAAAGACCAGACTCTGCCAAATTTGGCCCTGAATTTCCTAAGTTCTTTGAATGTTTCAAAAATCCAGAAGCTAATAATCTATGTAGGCTATTTTTCCATTCTAGCGTTGATTCCAATTTAGTTCTAGTACTACATCTGGTCTCATTTTTTTTATTCTAACATGTGACATTTAGAAAAGGATTTTCACTGGCAAGTTAACTACATATCACATTGTGCTAAGAACAGATCATAAGAAAACAACCACACAGCCCCAAATGAAAAACTAGTCACTTGAATACACAACCTGATGATTATCCTTTGCAACCTGATCTACAGTACAACACTGCATGATAAGAAACAAAAGACAACTCATTTCAGGAAGGATGATCAAATTAAATGATTTAACCCAATCATTAACCCATTTTTTCAAGTTTTTAAGATGTTTAACAAACTTTCCATTAATTTCTCCTTACTCTGGTCCTGAAATTTTATAGCAATTCTAAGTTAAAAGTTAAAATTTAATGGTGAATAGACAACACACTCCAACTGCAAAGTGTCAATGTTTGCTCGACTTAGATTAGAAACTCAAGCAAAAGATTTGGTATACCATTTATTTTTAAAATATTGGGAAAAATGAGGATTAGTTTTTACTCAGTTTGAATTGTTCCAGTAAAATTGCAATGAATATATACAGCACCTCCCAAATGAGAACACAGCCAATATCACAGATACATAAGAGCAGCAAAGGTCTGTTTCACAAGATTATTATTTTTCCATAATAAAACAAAATCAGCTAAGTGCTCAAATGCATTTCTTATTAGGAGATTATCTGCACCTTACATCATCGAAGATACTCACTAGAATGCAATTTTATGGCAGGACTCCTGTCAGTAAACTGTAATTACGAAGTCTATTGCTAAAGTTAAGTTTTGGATGCTCTTCATGGGCATTTTCACATCAGACATGTTGAAGTAGTCCAACTTCATAATAACAAAGCATGCATGACTTCCTTGATTAGCCCACTCTAGAAATACCTGGGCAAACATACCTGGATCATAATGTGTACCTGTTTCTTCAGTAGCAAAGCTGGTCCTAGGACAGAATCAAGAAAAAGAGTTCTCTCCACACTTATTCTTAAAGTGTAACATGTGTTAATTAGTCTGTACATGCTGGCTTCACTGAGAAGATCCATATACTTTTAAAAGTGGATCAGACAAATAAATGAAGAACAGGCCTATCAAGAGCTATTTCTTTTGAGGACTTGCATCAGGTTGGAATCAGCATACTTCTAAATGCCAGGTGTAGGGGATCAACAGTATGAGAGGGATATGTCTGTTTCCAGCTTGCAAGCACCCAGAGATAATATGGTTGGCCAGATTGTAAGAAACAAAATGTTGGAAAAGATGGGTCATGGAATGATCCATCAAAATTATTGTTAACCTCCCACTCACCATCTTCCAGAAATAAATGGGAGTGTGCTTTTGAAGTTGCATGTATCACCTATAACACGGATGTCAAATTTGTGGCATCAGGTTGCCGTCATATGACATATCACGACGTTTTTCCCCTTCCCGGAGCTGGGGTGGGTGTGGCCCAAATGTGATGCATCCAGGCCATAGGTTGCTAGTTTGACACTCCTGACTCACAACCACCAAACTTTTTTTTGGCAAGAAAATCAATACTGAAAATAATCTGCAACCTGTATAAAGCCTATAGCCTCAATGTTAATTAATTACAATTCCCAGCAACCTGATCTAGTCACTTAAGCAATACTGCAAGATTATCTGAAGACAGATTGTCTCTCAAGCCAATGTCATCAAGGGTTTTAAGCATCTTGAATTACATCTGGAAGCCGAATAATAACCAGTGCAGCTCATGAAACAGCTGGACATGTGCGCATACTGAAACAAGCCCATCACCGCCCACACTACTAAATTCCAGACCATTTTTTCTTCCAAGGATTGTCTTCAAAGGAAGTCCATGTAGAGTACAGAGCATAACACAATATCCAACCACAAGATGATAAAGGCTTGAATCCAAAAAGCCCCTTAGTCAAGAAACTATGAAACTCACACATCAGATATACACATGCACAGACTGTCTTGGCCACTGCTGTCCCTTGCACTTCCAGCAGGAGCTGTGATCCCCAGATTACACACCAGACTTGGATGCAGAAGTGCAATCCCATTGAGGACTAAATATAGAATATCCCTCAAACCAGTGCAGCAAACATACAAGCAAAGCCATTTGGTCTTCTCAGGATTAGGCCTTAGTCTGTTCTTTCCCCTCCAAGCCTACAAAAGCCTCCAGGTCAAGCCTTCAAGTGTCACATGGCTGACCCAGGGTCAACCAGGAGTGAGTGTGCACCATCATCATACTAATACCAGACCAAAACTGACAAATGTTCTCACCCAGCAGTTTCATGTGGATGCGAGGGCAGAACGTTGAGCTCACAAGTGAATTGCTAATTTTGCAATATAAAAAGAGCTTTGAATTCAAATGGGCAAGCCACTAACCTACTAAAGTACACATGTCACCCATGAGCAGGAAATTACAAGAACTTCTAGTATAGCTGGAAATGCGCAAAAAATGTCGTATCTTTTCAACCTCGATGCCAGAGATGCGCAAAACTTTCCAGGATGAAAGCTGAAGTTGCCTTTTGAATAGTAGTATGTATGGAACTGCATTCCAAAATAAATACAGCTAGAAGAAGAAAAAAAATACTAGATTTCATTTATGATGAAATTACATTAATGAGGTGAAAGCATTATTTGCCAGTTTTGCATTAATAATTTCTGTGTATTCAAAGTTAGAAATCGACACCCAGATTTGGGGGGAGGGCAGCCCCTGGGGGCAGTGCTCAGAATTGCTTTGTGGCTCTGGCTCTACAAGATCTGAGTCAATGCTCAACACCATGTACATTACTATAAAATCTGCCTGTCTTAACCACTTGGTTTATTTTGGGGTTAGCTCTACTGCTGATCTCACCCTTCATCAGAACATACACTGGCTCTAAAATATTACTTTTTCCTCTCGTGGGCCTCTGTTGAATTATATTAAGCTAAGGTCTAAATCACAAGAATGACAGGGAATTGTAGTAGTTTAACACAAACAAGTCTTGAAATAATATTGTGATCAAAGCAGAAGGCAGCTTAATAAAACCCAGGTGGTTCTGGCTTATCATATATGGTCCTCATTACCTCAATTGCTCAGTTTAATAGATTGCCTGGTGTCAGCAGGAGGAGGTCTCTGCTATTAATTCCTCCAGTTATAACCCTACATGTGTTTTCTGAAGCTCTTTGATAAATCAGCTTTGTCCAGGAAAAATGTAAAGGGGGGAAAAAAATTCTATTTTAGAAGTAAAACCTTTTGCCACTGCTGGCAAAACCACAGAAACCACTGAGAGTTTGCTTTATTCACTATTAACATAGGACTAAACTAGTTTCTTAGCAGCTTCCAGATGATTCAAACTTACCAGAATTTTGTGTGGGTTGATGTATTTCTCTTCCCACATATCCCATCCCAAAAGCCGCACAAAAATAGGATTTTTTTTGCAAGACTTGTTCTATGAATTCCAGATAAAGGTGGTGTGTTGTATTCATTTCCCCCACCCCTTTCATTAACTTTTCCATTTTAGATAACCGCCAAATTAATTTGGGGCTATAAAAATTCGAATCCAGGGAAGCACACTTTGATTTGTTTGCAGAAACCCTTTAAAAATCACACTTCCCTATACTTCTCATCAAAACGATCAATAGGTATTTTTAAAGCTGCATAAATAATTCACATTAAAATATTACAGCAGTCATAGGTTTCAGGGATGAACTAACATGTCTATCTCTATAAAATGGATAACTGAGCAAATCAACACAGAGTTCTCATGACAAGCACAAATGACCAAGCTCAAATTGTCATATTTTGAACATATCAAATAAAAGACCTAGCTCTCTGGAGAAAGCCCTAAACTGGGAAAAATGGAAGAAAAGAGCAGAGGAACATTCCAGCAAGGTGAGTGGACTCGGTTAAAGTGGTGATGAGAATATTCCAAAAGAACCAGAAAAATCGCTTAAGACCATCAGCTTGATGGTCCATAATCAACTAATCAAACAAATTTCTACATAATATGGATGTAAATCAATGATTGTCTAACTATAAATGTATACATACTTATCAACTCTGTGTGCCATTCATCACTAAAAGCACCACAACTATACAAAGGGATGGGGGCATTTTTCTTTACTTCCAACTTAGACAGAGGAGGTATTCAGCAGGTTCTGACCAGTTCTGGAGAACCGGTAGTGGAAATTTTTGAGTAGTTCAGAGAACTGGCAAATCCCACCTCTGACTGGCCCTGCTCCCATCTATTCTCCACCTCCCAAGTCCCAGCTGATTGGCTGGGCCTTCTTTGGTTGCCTGCACAGGAGAACAGAGCTGGAAAGCAGGTTAGTGGGGTGGGGAGGGAATGGGGATTTTGCAGTCTCCTTCCCCTGCCATGCTCACCAAGCCACGCCCACAGAACCGATAATAAAAAAAAATTAATCCCACCACTGATCTGAGGATAGTACAGTAGATTCAGGATCCAATCTGGGCTGGTAACCAGGACCAAAGGTTTTGTCTTCCGAGCTTTCGGACTCATACTGGAGCCCATTCTCAGGGAACTTTTCTCTGGCAGGGTGTGGAATGTTAGATCCTGTAACATTATCCCGGGACACATACATTTGCCTTCATTAATAGTACAATAGATGTTCAGTATGGAGCTACATAACCACTGTTGTTTGATAATAACTCCAAACAAAAAAAATCACTTTCTCTTATGTTGTATTTTGCAGTGACAAAATACAACATGCAGTGACTTTTGGAGAAAACAACATGCAAGATTCTGCCAATCGGGCCAGTTATTCTATCTTCATTCTCCTTCCAATGCTTACAAATGCTAGTAGACAGGAAATTCAAATCAAATGCTTTCACCTCTTATTTCTGTTCTACAGAAACCTGTAGTGATTTAAGGATGCAAGATTTGATGGAGAAGACACTGGGATGTGGGCCTTTCAGGGACATTGCTTAGCTGCCAACATTCCTCGTAAACCACAACTTTATAAATGTGTTTTCCCCCCACAGTTAAGTGTAATCATCATTTTCAGGTCCCATAACCAGTGGATACCTTATGGGGCCTCCTCACTCCCCCTCAAAATGGTTTTTCTTAAAGTTCCAATGCACCTGAACAATTCCACATGGATATTTTGCAGCATATAAGAAAGAAGTAGTGAGATAAAATTTGAAGAGCTATCAAAAATCTGGAAACTGAAAAACAAAATAAAATAGACTGCCAAGACATGTAAGTCAACTGATCCAATTACCCCCTTCTGGGATTTTGTGGTTTATTATTATTTTTTCCAATCATGCATGGCACTGCACCCACGGATGAACCATTTCCAAAGTCATCCAAATAACAAGGCTGCCATTTTCAAGGTTGTTGGTTTTTTTTGTGCTAGCGGTTGTAAAAGAGCAGCTTTCAGTCTGGCTTAGAGTGTCAGGAGTGGCACCCAGCGTCCAAACAGATTCCTTACAACACATCTACTTGCTCAGAAAAATTCTCTCGTTTTGTTCCAACTTCTCTCACTATATTGCCGCTAGAAACAAATCCCAGAAAGCAATAGGATTGTTCAAAGGTTTGCAAACTGGCCACCTTTTAGTCTCAGTTTCCAGGACAAAATCCTCTTAGATATTCTGTTCATCTTTGAAAACTACATGAAAACATTTTAGAAGTAAGGTGTAGCCTTCTCCTGTATGAATCCAGTTTCCTTTATATACAGTGTACCGTACCTGCAATAGCATTTTTAAAAACAAAAATTTTGCAGCATTAATAATTCATCCAAAAATCTCTTATAGCCAACACCCCAAGCATATTTATACAATTATGTTTCACACTTTAGCACATCCTGCTGCAAAATCACAGTTGATAACAGCTGGCACCAGAGTCAGGAGGCCAAAACCCGCATGGAGATTTTGAAAAATTTCACTTGAATGGGCATTCATGCCAATGAGTATATAAAGTGCATCAGTATCCCCAGGGTATATTAAATGATGGTTGAAAATGATACCAACTTTTTTTTTTAGAAAAAAGAAAGAAAAATCATAGAGTTGTGATATTTAATATTTACACCTAAATATTAAATATCACAACTTTAAGACAATCTATTTTAACATCAGCCTTTCCCAACTCTTACACTTCTCTTATATATCCACAAACTTTATAGGTTCACAATAGCTAAAGTAGAAAGTTAAACAGGATGCTTTTGTCAAAATATAATTTGAAATGGCACAGCCTGATTGGGTCATGCAACAAAGATTCTACACTGATACTGAAAAATTTAATTGAAATATTTTTTTAAGAAGAAAACATTAATAAAGTGGATTTTCATTTTTAAAGCCTTCGTTTGGCCTAACCTCCTCTATACATTTCAGAATCAGCATAGCTATGGGTAAGACTTAAAAACAGCAAAATCTAAATAATAATAATAATAAGAGGGAACTAGCTTTTCATTCCTTTGGACACCAAAGTCACCGATTTCAAGAAGGCAGACCTCAGCAAAGAAATTACAACGGCTGATTTCAACCCTCAATTACCTGAGTTAAAATTAATTAGAATTAATACCCATTTCTCACTCATTAAATGGGCAGCAATTAACGGACTAACTCCTTCATGAAAAATGTTTAACGCATACCAGAAGTGTTGGGTTAATAGCCGCTAAATTCCCTTTCAGCTTGACAATTAGAAGGTTTGGACACGAGTAGAGAAGAGAAAGCGAACATACTGTCTCTTTCCCTTATTCTTTTAATCAGAATAGAGCTGAAAGGGACTTTGGAGGTCTTCTAGTCTAAACCCTGATCAAGTGGGAGACTCCATACCATTTCAGAAAAGTGGCTGTCCAGTCTCTTCTTAAAGGCCTCCAGTGATGAAAGGCAAGCTGTTCCACTGGTTAATTGCTCTCACTGTTAGGAAGTTTCTCCTTAATTTCAGGTTGTTTAAACGCAACATGTTGGGGTAGGAGGAATAAAGGAAAGCTCCATTCACAGTTATGTACCCTTAGCAGAACTCTCTACATGGCCTGTGACCCTGTTTCAGACTGTACAAGCTATACTCATTGCTTGAAGTACACCTATCTTTAGAGTCCCTGGCTCTACCCCTTGCCTCTACCATTGTGTGTGTGTGTGTGTGTGTGTTTGTAAAAACACATACTCCTTTCTCCAGTCTACATTTCATGCATTTGATGAATCAGACTGTGATTCAGAAATCCTTGTGCAATAAATAAATCTGCTGGTCTTCCAGGTGCAATAAAACTCTCTCACTGCTGCAGCAACAGACTAACAAGGCCATACCCTTGGCTGTGCATGATTTACAGCACAACCTTAAGCATGTTTGTTTAGAGTTAAACCCCACTGTGCCATATGAGGTAACAATGCACAGAACCGAAACCACACTTGCTGAGCAAAGCAGAATGTGTTCGAACTGTATTAACACATTCACCAAAATGAAGGACAAGTGAGGGAAAGCTGTATTAAGGCAACTGAGAAGGATGCTCATGACAGTGCAATTAAAATTGACTCTACATACCCAGAGAGACAAAACAAAAAGCAAACATGGTTATTGGCATGTAGGAATTTAAGAACCAAGTTTTGAGATTCCCCTGCCTCAGAAGTCACAGATAAATATTTTTTTCCTACTAGCGTATTTTCCTACTAGCCTATGTTAATAAAATCAAACTCAGACTTGGACAAAGAAAAAAGCTAGTTAGAATAAACCCGATAACATCAAAAATTGCATGCTTAAACCATTAGGGGATACTCAAAGCCTTATCGGCAAGCTGCCAGGTCAAGAATCGTCCTGCCAATTTTACACTCTCTGTGTAGGCTGTATTTGCTGGTATTTGATTTACCTCCAACGTTCTATTAACCAGAATCAATACTGGCATTTACCTGCATTATCTGATTCTGTTTCTTATCCAAACACATTCAACTACTGCCTCATTTATGTATAATGCATTTCTACTTGTTGGCCTCGCTTTAAACAATATCACTGACAAGCTAAATGAACAGCTAAATGGAGTTGTGCAAGGATTTGCCAGGTTCTGCCATCTTTTGCAACAATAATAACACAAAATTTCTGCCTTGGACACGATTTACTTATTTTTTTAATTTATATTGCCATCTATTCGCCCGTGGTGACTTGGGGCTTACACAATGTAAAACCATATTTAAAATGAAAAATAAATATAAAAAAATAAAAACTAACAAAAAGAATCAAATTAATAAAGTACAACAGAACAAAATCTGGAAAAAATGAAGAAAAAAATCACCACCACCCCGCAACTTCCACCCCCCACCCTGACGACAGCAAATCATACTAGCAAATTGATGGGCTCCATCCCACTCTGGGTTCCCCAGGCCTGTTGGCAAAACCAGGTCTTCAGTGCCTTTCGAAAGAGGGCTAGAGTGGGGTCCATTCTAATCTCTGGGGGAATGATATTCCAGCAGGTGGGAGCCACCACGGAGAAGGCCCTTCTTCTGGCTCCCACCAGGTATATCTCCCTCGGGGATGGAACCCACAACATTCCCTGCCTCCCCTCTCTGATGGGTCGGTAGATGTGACCGGCAAGAGATGTACCCTCAGACAACCCTGTCCCAAGCCATGAAGGGCTTTAAAGGTGACATCCAGCACCTTGAATTGCACCCAGAAACAAATCGGTAACCAATGCAGCTCCTGCAGGAGAGTTGACACATGTGCACACCGGGGTCTGCACAAAATCATGTGGGCCGCTGCATTTTGTACCAACTGGAGCTTCCGGATGCTCTTCAAGGGCAGCCCCATATACAGCACGTTGCAATAATCAAGATGGGAAGTGACAAGGGCATGAGTGACTGTGAGTAGGGATCGTTGGTCCAGGAAAGGGTGTAACTGGTGCACAACCCGCAGTGGTGCAAAGGCCCTCCTAGCCACAACCGCCACCTGCTCTTAGAGTAGGAGTCATGAGTCCAGGAAAACCCCTAGATTACGCACAGGGTCTATTTGGGGTAGTGCCACCCCATCCAATGAAGTGTGGGCAGTGAAAAGAGCAAAAGAGAAGGTAGGTGGGTTTATGTTTTTTTTAAGACAGATTGCAAGTGGAATAAATTGATTGCTATTTGGAATAAATTGATAAATGGCAATTATTGCTGTATTTTGTAATGTAGGTACTTGCTGATAGAGTACAAAGAACTTACAGATATTATGTGACAGTTCATTTTATTTAAAACAAAGAAAGAAAGCTATGAGCCACATTCCCTCCTGTCCCAAAGAGCTTGTTCCAAAAAGTTAAGAGTTGTATTAAAAAAAAGAACCACACAAAAACATAGAGTCTTTGGAAATCATATCAAAGCTATTTCCTTGATTGCCATGCTTGGCTAATTAAGGTTTTTGTCTTTTTAACTAAATTTCTCCTTCCCCAAAATCCTAGAGGTGTGCACAGTTAGCTTTAATTGGTCTGTGCCTGGTCCAAAATACACAATTCAGATGTTTAGTTCTGTACACAGACCAAGATGGGGCCATTATTTTTCCGATATGTATTGAAATATAACTTGTTCTTGGTGGAAGCGTTGTGGTGTCCTAGTTTGTGTTCAGTGGCACTGAGTGTTAGCAATCTTGCTTCTAGCAACTGGTATTATCTTTGGAATACTTCTGCTTGGGTCGCTGTAGTCCGATAAAATGGACCAAATTAAACAGACTAATGCCAGATGGTCTAAAACGTATTGTTAACAGTCATAGTAACACAATCTTCTGAATCTGAATGTGCTTCCCCCCAACTCCTCACTTTATCTTTGTGTAATTTATGGAGGGTATGTTTACTCAAATTAGTTTCTTGGAAGAGCTCAAGTCATACTTGCCCAATCATTACCTTGGTGGTACTTTTCCTTGTGTCCTTGATCTCCTATACCTCCATCCAGTCTCATAAGATAGACTAATAATTCTATCTCTATTGCACACTGATTATTGCAATGAAACTCACAATGCACAATTTTTATTGTAGCATCGTGAGATTCATTCTGGATGCCATTGGAGAAAGACTGCCAAGATGGGCAATAGTAGATTTTATTAAATAGGAAAGCAAGCAAGCATTTGTTTCTTTATATCTGTCAATTCATATGGCTCCGAGTGATGCATATCGACCAATAATGTAGGATTAGGAACCATCATGGTGTACGATACAACAAATATCTACTGCGTGCTACCTCCACCCCCCACAATAAATTATAGGTGAGGCTTCAGGCAGATGGTCCATTCCCCTCTGTTAACAATCCATGGACTGAGGACTGAAGGATGAGATACCCTCTCCTGAACCTAAATCCATGCCCCATTGTAGTAATGCTGACCTAGATGTGCCAGTAAAGTACATCCAACCCGCAGATTAGGTATGCTATAGGCCTAAGAGGAGCATGATATGGGAGCTACTTCAAACTTGCACCTGAAGACTTATCAAGGCTATCCACAACCACTGCAAACATGGTTCAGTGGGAGAAGGACACCAAGCACATTTCAATCTGAAGAGCTACTTTGGACATTAACTGTGTTCCTTCCAAGATAGCCATTGTTGTGGACACGTCACAAGGTATCTGCTCTCGAGGACAGCAACCTGAACGAGTAGTGGCTGAAGCAGCTATTAAACTGCAGGGTGATCCAAAGTCATGATCCAAATGCGATGTACCTATTATGTAGATCACAATTAGCTTTCTAGCATTATACAGGTTGCTGCATTCTAAGGCATTTTTCATCTGGTGCCTGTGACTGATACGAATCCCTCATGAATCCTTTTCTCTGCTGCCCACCTTATAATATGGGAAATAAATGTCCAATAAAAACAGCAGGTGTTGACTTTTACATACACTTCCCCTCAGATAAGGGCGATTTCTCCCTCACCACGTACTGATAAAACTGAGGTAAAAATGAGGGGACACCTGCCATTGCAAGCCCAATTACTTTTCACAGTGGAGCCAGTTCGGTGTAGGCTTCAGGCTAGAAACCAGAAGTCAGTGAGTTCAAATCCCAACTTAGCCAAGACTGGGGTGACCTTAGGGTAGTCACTCTCTCTCAGCCTAACCCATCTCACAGGGTTGTTGTTGTAGGGAAAATAGGAGGAGGAAGAATTAGGTATGTGGTGCCATCTTGAGTTATTGTTAAAAACAGTAAAGGTGGGAGATAGATACGACCTACCCTGAAAAGTAAGTCTTAGTTTGATTTTTATATGTGCACCCAATATAAGCCCTACCCCCAAAATAAGCCCTAATTAAAACCCCACACACTCCAGGGTGCACGGGTAAAAACTAACATGGGGTGGGGATGAGGGGGGTGGAGCTGCCCTATTACTTGCCTTCAGACTGTTGCAGTCAGGCCTCGCACACCCTGATACCTGCCTTGCCGGCCCATTTCTTCTGCATCCAGCAAAACCGGCAAGGCTTTGCTGAAGGCCTCTGCAGCTGACAGTAGAGCTCTGGATCGATCTGGAGCTCTGTTATCGGCTGTAAATGCCTTCAGTAAAGCCTTGCCGGCTGCAGAAGAAGAAGGCCCTGAAGGCTTCTGACAGCAAAAAGGGGTCTTATTTGGGGGGAAAGATGCTAGTTAGATTAGATAGCTAGATAGCTAGATAGTTAGCTAGATAGCTATCTAGCTAGATAGATGGGGGAGACAGACAGACAGATAGACAAACAGACAGACAGACAGAAACAAAAAATGCTAGGTGGGCTGCAAAATCAAGATGCAAAGGAGAACTTGTCAGTCAAACAAAGAGGTGGGTGTAACAATCTGCCAATTAGCCTTTAAATTCTGGATAAAGGGAGAGATGTATTATGTCCCTGATTGTCTGCAAGGCTAAGTTTAGCCATAGCAAATAGATTTAGAAGAGGTTTATTTTAAAACATGTTAAACCTTTTAACAGACTGACTGGGATTAATTTAATATTTTCTGCCAGGACATGTCATGCCTTGGGGTGGGGGTGGGGAGATAATCAATCAGAAGTACAGTGTCTCATGTGAGAGCTCAAAGCCAGCCTTTCTCTCATCACTGTTCCTTTCCAACATGAACACCTATGTCCTCTGGGCATATGTTTGCCCTAAGTGCAGGGGTTAGGTCTACCTGATGGGGATGGCAAAAATATGGCCAGTCACTAAATGTCTCGAAACAATATTTTCCGTATCTCTTTGCTGCTTTCAAAAGATTCTCCCCTAAAGCTGCTTCTAGATCCTACTGTTTCCCCTGACCAATATACTCCAACATGGTGTGTTTTTCTTTTAATTTCAGCCAAGCTGCAGGCAGACAGAAGTGGACCTTCTAGACTGCAAAGTTTTATTTTCAGTTTGAAACAAAGCACATTTTTGTTTTATGTACTCCAGTGTAAAATCCTAAGAAAATTATATCCCTTAGCACCTAATTTCAAATGCACCGTTTTGTCAGCTTTAAATAAAATAAGCACACAAGAGACAAATACCTATACATTTTCTCCATCTATTTTTTTGGGGGGGTAGAAACTAAATGCATCTCATCTGTGGGCTTTTGGTACGCTCTATTTCATTTCCCATAAACTTTACAATATTTAAAGATTGCTTCCATCATATGCTGCATGAGATCCAGCTGATCAGTAGTTAACTAATTTTGAAGAGATCTAAATAGAAACTGAACCCTTGGACAATTCTTTATGGTTGCCATATAATTTTTATTCCTAAATCCAAATGTGATTTTATTGTGATTATTCTTTGAGAGTCTCTTTATGTCATTTTTGGAGATATTTAAATGCACTAAATAAATCAGTGTTTAAGCTAACTGTTCAACCTGAATGTCTGATTATAACTCCCAGAATGAGGACAGTTCCAGCTTTTGGCCATGCTGACTGTATTTGTAGAAGTTAAGTAAACTAATTATGAAAAAGTTGGCTTAAGCACTCGCATTATTGCATATAATAAAGTTCTTGTTTATCAAAATATATTATCCTGATAGTTTCAGAAGCACCCATGAAGATACAACTGCAATAAACTTGGAAGGTTTCACATACACAAAAAAGGAGAATGTGTGTATATTAATAGGAAGTTTTAATAGGAATTTTACCTTGAATCTAGGTAAAACAATTTTACTTCTTAAAAAATTGATGCCAAGCAATCAACAAGCAGAAAATACTTTGTTTGATGGATATTCAAACTTTCTACCAAGCCTTGCTAGTCTTACATTTATTACATTTTTAAAATCTTGGACTTCCTCCAAGGAGGTAAATAAAAAAAGGTAAATAAAGATCTGGATCAATTCATTACAATAGCTAAATTTGAGGTGACAGTCAAATTATAGGAATGAAAGAAAAGGTTCAGAGGTGTTGGGAGAAAGAATATAAGGAAAACAACAATAAGAGATTGCTTTTTATCAGAGAGCTTGGGAGTATCTGTAACAATGAAGGAAAATTCACTTAACAACTGAGGCAGTACAGAACATTAAGTCTAATAAAACTGCTTGGCACTCCAAGAAAGTGTTCCAAGCAAGTACAAAAGCAAAACTAAATCAAACTAAAAACAATCAGCTGTTAGAAATAAATGGAGAAAAGACTGAATATTTTCAGCAATGAAAACAATTACTTAATTTAGACTTGGTCCAACTGATTTCAGAGTAAATTTATGTTAAACTGGTACAAAATTAGTTTCAACTTCTTTAAAATTATTTTATATTCTGACTGACAATTACTTTTTGTCAGTCATGAAATAGAGATTTGTTCTATGTGCAAAAAAATGGCCATTTAGAATTCATTGTTACCCTTGTTATATACCTTATTTTTTTCTAGGACATTTACTGTTGAAGTAACAGCAGCAACAAAAAAATCTTGGATTTTCAACTTTTGAAAATTGTATTCTAATGATGCTACATTTTATTTCTTTTTAATATATTAAATTAAAAAAGAATTTCACTTAAAAACTGGGTATTTCATACAAATTAATTTTAAACACTTGATATACATCTTAATTTTGGGGGAAAAATACTTTATGAAAGAAAACAATTAAACTTTACTGCTTTATATAAAAAAATCAAGGCACTTAAACTGTGTTTTTACAATGAAAGTAATATTTTAATGTTCCTACTTTTTAAATAAATATCACCTATATAAAAATTCACAACATACGCACAACTCAAAAACAAATGAAGTTAAAAGTAAAGCTCTTAATTCTACTTTTCAAATATCAGATTTTAGCTTTATTCCTCATACTTCAATTTAAAAGTTTTCTCAGCTGTCCAGGCTAAAAGGGTTTTAATGTATATAATCTTTGGTTAAGGCTTTTTCCACATCTTATCAGAATAACTTACAAATGGAACATTCAGCACATTTATTACCACAAATATTTAAACTTTAGTTCAACGCACTCTAACAAATTAGTATTTTTTAAAAATCATCATACGTATATAGAATACCTACATCTGATTCCTGCCTACATCATTCTTGAAAAAGAAAAATTAAATTTTCCACTCTTGTACTTTTTCCCCCCCTCTGGGGAGACATCTTTTTTCAATTTAGTATTTAAAAAAATAAAATAAAATAAAAATTAATAGCACATTATTTTCCCCACACAAACAACAGCCATTAAGAGTTGGTGATGGTTTGAATTAACATTTTATGCCAAAGGAAATCAAAAGATTGTTAAATACCTACTTGTCTCATAAGTTATAAAATGTGCGCATTTTCTGTTTTGAGCTTTCTGTACAGCATATCATAGAGTATACCACTGTCTTTCATGTAACTGAGTAATAAAAAGGTAGTAACTTAGTTAGGACATATGGGCTACTATGGGAAAATTTACAGACTATTATTAGAGGAAAAATAAGCATATATTACAATGAAGATGAAGAAAACAGATCAAAAATAAGGTTGGCACAAGCAAATAACCATTCGCAGGGCAACAATAATGTTTAGCTTTTCTTCTCAAATCATTCAAGAAGGACATTCATTCACTTGCCTAAAACAAATGTCATTATATTTTAGCAGCCTCATTAAAAAGAGGCAGCATAACATTCCATGATTCTTCTCAGTTACCTAAAGAATACCCACAATTCATAATTATTTTAGGTGTATCCAGTAGCCTAAATTCATAATAAAGAAATTCTTCTTTTTTCCTTTTTCAAGAATCAAGGTGTTTCTTAGCATATAACACAGTAATCAAATTAACAGAAATCAGTTGTAATACTATTAACAGAAATAAGTATATTCTATAAATAATAACCTTTCCTCTTACTTTAAACGAAGTATTAGAGAATGGATTTGTACAATGAAATGTGACCTGGAAATTAAATACTTGTAAAGAAATAAGACAGATTAAGAGGGAGGGAAAAATCAGAAGAAAATAAATTGAATCATGAAAATTAAACTGAGCACAGCAAAAAACTCTTGACTAAAAAAAATATGTGGGTTATATATAAAACTTTAAATCAAGAAAAAATAGATGTTTATTGTCATGCAAACTTTTAAAGACAATGTTCATAAATAGGCTAACAATGTAAAAAGATTAATTAGGATAATGTTATGCATTACAGCTGTTAAAGATGAGTCCTAAAAGGATTTAATTATATACATAATGTACCACATCCCATGATGTTTGCATTAAAGCATTAAAAGAAAAAAACTGGAATTTTTATGCCATGTCAGATTGCTTTTAAACTCTCCTCAAGAGCAAACTGTTATTGAGCTTAGAAACAATGGTAAAGGAAAAAAAGGGAACAAAATTCTGAAGCTTGTCACCCTGACTGCAATATTTTCAAACTCTAGGATATGAACAAACTGCATTTAAAAGACACAATTTCTTACTTTAAGATTTCAGTTTATGAAGATATTTTTACTATAGCTTAAACACCCTTTACATATTTTGGCAATATTCTGAAACAAACTTCGGAAAACACATGCAGTCTAAGAAGGAGAAAACTGAAAACCCAACGATGTTTCCAACACAGTCTAATAGAGAACACTGGGGATTAAATGTTGAAAGATAATTTTGAAGTTATTTCAGAGATACCATCTCGTAATAAAATGTAATGTTACTATTGGTCTCCTCATAACATGAACTTGTCTCCCCCCCATAGTGAATAACTTGATAGAATTACCACTATTCATCCCCAAATGTTATTATATAGGTAGCAAAGCTGACAGGAGATCATAGGCACTGTAACCTACCAAAGAGATAAAGAAGGCAAAAATAATGAATTATTTGAAATATTGATAATTTATTAATTTTATAAAAGGAAGTGTACGGGCACTAATAAGATCCAAACAAGGTTTTCTGAATGATTCAGAAATCCTGTAACTTCTCCATTACAAAAACTGATATGTA